GCAGCGCTGCGACAAAGGACGCCGCAGGAGGCGTGTCTGCGCCGCTCTCCTCCGGCGGCGAAACGAAACCCTCGCTCCCAAACGAGACGGCCAGCCGGGCGCGGCTGCGGACCATCTCCATCCACTGCAGTGCGTCGGCCCCGATGCTCCGCCGCTCGCTCACTGCGTCCGCCGGCTCTGCATCCGCCGACGCACCGTCGCCCCCGTGCGCGCGTTCCTGCTGCGCCTCGTCCGCTCGGCTCGGCTCGACCTCTCTGCGCCGATCGTGGTCCTGCGCACCGCGGTCCGCGTCGGCGGCCGCGTCTGCGCTGCTCGGCGCGCCCTGCTCTAGAGTGAGCGTGCCGCTGCCCTGCTCGCCCCCAGCCCTTCCCTCCTCCCCTCCGGCGCTCCCCCGCGCCTCTGGAGCCGCCTCTGGAGCCGCCTCTGGAGCCGCGCCATCGAGCGGGCTGCGGTGCTGGCCGGTCGGCCGCTCCCCCAACCCCAAGCCGCGCCACCACGGGCCGCCCTTCTCGCCCTTCGGCCCCTCGTGCCGAGCGCCCCCCCCCGGCAGCGGCTGATCTCCGACCAGCGCGGAGAGAGGGACGTCGCCCCGTCCAGCCAGCCCGCCGCCCTCGCTCAGCCGGTCGCCGCTCCCCCCGACGCCCTCGCGGCGGAGCGACGCGGCGTGCCGTGGCGAGCCGAGCCGGCCGCTGCCGAGCGCGTCCACTGCCAAGGCCGTGCCGCCGGAGAGATGCTGCTCGAAGTGGCCGGGCGCCAGCAGCGCGAGGGAGCGGCCGCTCGTGACGGGCAGAGTCGGCGAGGGCAGCGTGCCGGGCAGCGTGCCTACGTGCGTCGGCGCTCGGGCTTTGAGAGCGGCGACTGGTGGGCCGGAGAGAGCCGGGGTGACGGCGCCTGGTCGCGCAACCAGGCGCAACCGGTACCTCTCGTCGAGCATCTCGATGACGACCCCTACGCACGCGGCGAGGCTGTGACGGGGAAGGGGATCTCGGCTTGGGGAGAAGGACGCGGCGACGGCGCCGAGGGCGAGGGAGAGCACGACGGCCGCGCAGAAGACGTACATGCCGGCCTGGCCCTCGATCTTGAGGTGGCCCTCGACGTAGCCGTGGACAGAGGAGATGAGCGCGGCGAACGAGAAGGAGTACCAGCCGATGATGCCGGCGGGGATGTAGCCGGTGACAGCCTCGGTGGCGATGGGCGCGGCCACGCCGATGTCGAGCACGCCGAGGAGGGCGATGAGGATGAGGATGTCGGCGAAGGACCACTTGCCAAAGAAGGCGAGCCAAAAGTTGCCATTCCGCCGCGTGGGCACCTGTCCGGGGGGGGGGGGGGTCCAGACGTCGGCCCCGGGGGGGCGGCGATGGCTCGCTGGCGGCGGCTGTCACCGTGTGCGCCGCAAAGAAAAACTTGTGGAGGAGGAGGAGCTTGACGTGCGGCCAGATGAAGGAGGCGACGAAGATGGTGCCCGCAGAGAGCCGGCCCGGGTAGATGCGCACTGCGCCCGGAGGCAGCTCCTCGTCCGGCCCGCAGTCCTTAAGCTCGCCGTCGGCGGTCAGCGTCTTGTTTGTGGTCCACAGCTGCCGGATCGAGTAAAAGTAAGAGTACTCGAAGAGCACCTTCGAGAAGCGCGCCTCGCCGCAGTCGATCAGCTGGCACGCCTACGGCCCCACCTTGCGGCCGCGCTCGCGAGGACAGTCCCGGCCGCGCCGCCGCGCCGCCCGACGGCGCGCCGGGCTCTCGCTCGTCATATCTCGGCTCTATCTCGGCTGTATCTCGGCTACATCTCGCCGGGTTCTCGCTCGTCATGTTTGCGACGTACTGCTCGTAGCTCACCTCGTTGCGGCAGTCGAGGTTGGGGCAGTCGCGCGGCCGGTTCGACTGGACGACGTTCCACAGCAGCCCTCCGAGCGCCACCTCCACCCTCGCGTCGAGCTTGACCTGCAGCAGGGCGAGCGTCTCGCGGCAATGGGGGCGGGGCCTCCTCCCGACCGCCTGCCCGCACCGTGAACATGCCGCGGCCGCGCAAGTCATCCTTCGAGCTCCGCTGCCAGCTGCACGAGAACTGCGCGTACCCGAAGAGGAGGTGGCAGAGCAGCAGGCAGAGCCGCACCGCGACGCGAGTCCTCGGCCGCGAGGCGCGCGCGAGCGAGGAGCGGACCTGAGAAAGCAGAGCGCGGTCTGAGCAGAGGTGCCAGAACGGCACAGCGGGAGCGAGCAGCGGCCGGGGTGGTCCGCCATCTCGGCCAATCTCGGCCAATCTCGGCCAATCTCGGCCGGTCTCGGCCGGTCTCGGCCGGTCTCTGCTAATCTGTGCCATCAGCGGGTCTGCCGGCCCGAAGTGCTCCCCCTCGCGGTGGTACTCGTCGGGGCGGAGCGCGAGCCTACCTCGCAGCCGCAGAGGCTGTGAGCGGACGCGGGTAGCAAAGTGCAGCCCGCACCCCGGGGGGGAGGTGGCACCGCTGCTCGTCGACGCAGCCGAAGAAGAGGCCGACGCCGCGGCAAGCCTTGCCGGCCGCGCGGTACGTGCCGCGGCTCGCCGCGCCGATCGCCCCCCCTCCCGGCCGCAGCAGCGTCTCCGCCGCCCACAGCACGACCAGCGCGATGCTCAGCCAGCGGATGCTCCCTTCCCAGCCGCGAAAGACGCGCTCGACCAGGCCGGGCGGGGCCGCCGGCGGCAGGGGCGGCGGCCAGGGCGGGCTGGGCGGCGGGCTCGGCGGCGGTGGAGGAGGCGACGGAGGCGACGGAGGCGACGGCGGCGGCGGCGGCGGCGGGTGCGGTGGCGGGCGCGGCGACGGTGGTGTTGGCGGGTGTGGCCAGGGCGGCGAAGGCGGCGAGGGCGGAGAGGGTGGCGCGGGCGGCGAGAATGGTGGAGACGGCAGCGGCGGCGGCGGCAGCGGTGGCGGCGGCGGGAGTGGGAGCGGAGAGGGAGGCGTCTCGGGTGGCAGCGGCGGCAGCGGCGGGGCCGGAGGTGTCCCGGGAGGAAGGGGCGGCAGGGGCGGCAGCGGCGGCAGCGGCGGCGGCTCCGGCGGGGCTGGCGGAGCGAGTGGCGACGGCGGCGGCGGCGGGGAGGGCGGCGGCGGCGGCGGAGGGCTCTGCGGTTGTGGGCGGAGGGGCGGGTAGGGTGGCGGCGGAGGCGGTGGAGGCCACGCAGGCGGTGACGGAGGAGCGCGAGGCGACCACGAGTGGCGCGCACGGCGCTGCGGGTGCTCGCTCAGGAAGATGAGCACGCCCGCCACCAGCGATGCGCCGCCCACGGCGATGGATATGCTTCCAAGCACCGCGTTCCGAACCTCCTCGCTGAGGCTGCGCCGCTGCTGCCCCAGAGCGTCGCCTTCATCGAGCCAGTCGTCGTCCTCCCAGTCGTCCCCGTACGCCTCATCCGTGTCCATGACGCCCGCAGCAGCCTGGTATAGCAGGGCCTGTCCTCGATGGATGGGAGTGGTCCGGGAGACGGCCAGGAAGAGCCGCGGCGACCAGCAGGGCGGCCAGAAGGCTGAAGGAGAAAGAAAAATTCCGTGTTGTTGATCTTCCTAGGAAGGGTCGGCTTGGCAAATCGCCAAAAAATTTCGTTTGATCATACCCCTAACCTCGAATTCAGCCGCCGCCCAGTGCCTCCGAGGCGCAATGAGCGCCTGTTGGGCGGACGTTGCCGCGCTGACGCACTAGACCCAAAGAAGCCGCGCTGCGCAACGAGATCAAGGTGCGCCACGGGAAGGTTCTTCGAGCATAAACACCAGAACGCACGGCATGCAGCGTCCGGCATGCGCAGCGCGCCGCAGGCCGTCCCGCGTCTCGAGGTGCAGCGCAAGGAAGAGCAGCCCAAGCTCCCGCGGCGGCGTCACTTCTTGTCCTCCTCCTCCTTCTTGTCGCCGTCCTGCTTTTGGAGGACCGACTGGATGCGCGGGTCGTTTGGGTCGACGCCGGGGAGCGAGCCGAGGACAGACTGCAGGAAGCTCGGGTCCTGGAAGACTGCGGACATGTCGCCGGCGGCGGGCGCGGGTGCGGGCGCGGGCGCGGGCGTGGTGGACTCGCCGCCGCCCCCCTGAGACATGGACATCGCCAGCGCGAGCTGCATCGCCTCGTCCTCGTCCGCCTCCGCCATGACGGCGTCCTCCAGCGCGGGCGCCGGCACGGCGGACGGCGGCGGCGCGGCGGACGCGGGGGTCTCCGACGCGCCGCCGACCGGAGCGCCGGGCGTCTCGGCGGGCGGCGCGGTGGCGGGCGTCTTTGGCTGCTCGGCCGCCGCGCCGGGCATCGACATGGCCAGCGCCTGCTCGAGCAGCGCCTGCTCGTCCGCGTCGCCCGCCGCCGCCCCGCCGGCCGCCTCCGCCATCTCGGCGTCGCTCGCCGGCGCTGCGGCCGCGCCCTCGCCCGAGCTCGCCGCGGCGCCCTCCGCCGAGCCCGCCCCCGCCTCCTCCGCCGCCTTTGCCGCCGCCTCCTGCCGCGCGCGCTCCTCCTCCATCGAGACGCGCAGTGCCCACGCAAACTCAGGGTCCATATTCGGGTCGACCGCGAGGCCGGCGAAGTCTCCCGCGCCCTCGCCGCCGCCGCCGCCCATGCCGGCCATCGCGGCGCCCGCGCCGTCCTCGCCCTGCACGATGGGCGACGAGAGCAGGATGTCGGAGAGGACGTGCGGGCCGGGAGGGACGGTGACGAGGTGCGAGTTGTCGTCAGAGTTGACGGCGTTGAGCAGCGCCTCGAGCTTGGCGGCGTTCTCCGCCTGCGGGCGCGCGGGGCGGGCGGCGCTCGCGCGTGCGGGCGTTCCCCGCGGCTCCCCGCGGCTCCGCGCGGCTCCCTTCTTCTCTGTGTTTGTCCGCGGCTCTCTCCCCCCTTCCTTCTCTCTACGGTGTCTGCGGCCCGGGGCGCCTCCTCTCCAAAGTTGATGATGTCCATCGCGACGGAGTTCTTCTTGAGCTTCTTGCCGAGCTTGACCAGCGCCGCCTCCTCCTCCTGCACCGGCGACCCCACAAAGACGATGATGCGCTGCCGCTGGTTCTTGTTCTGCCGATGCTTGAGCGAGAGCTGCGCCACCTGGATGCCCGCTGACAAGTTGGCGTTGCCGCCAATCTTGATGCCGTGCGAGAGGGAGAGGACCTGGCCGACGTCGCCCGTCAGCGCCACCTGCACCTCCACCCCTCGCCCGGCCGTCGAGAGCAGCCCGACGACGTTTTCAGGGTTGCTCTGCGTCTTTGCGCCCGACAGCAAGTTGACGGCGTCCAGCTGCGCCTCCATCCGCGAGGGCGCGTGGTCGCCGTTCCGCATATAGTCGGAGTTGTCGATGCAGAGGAAGGAGGCCTCGAGCACCATGGATCTATGACGGCGGGCGAGGGGGCTCGAGCGGCGAAAGGGCAGCAACGCAGCAAGAGCGGCCGTTCGCCCCCCGGGGCGTGCAGCGAGTGGCGGCGCTTGCATCGGCGGCGAGTGGGCGGCCGGGTTTGGATGTAGGGTGGGAGAGGGGTGTTCGGGGGGTGGGGGATTCGGGAGGGGGTGGTCCGGAGAGCGAGTGGCAGCGGCGGGCGCGCAAGGGGTGGGGTGGTGCCCGCGCCGGCCGGCGGGGCGGCGCATGATGGGTCGGGAGGCGGGGCAGCGGCGAGAAGGGCTGCAGAGGCGAGGCACGGCGCGTGCGGCAGGAGCGGCTGTCACCTCAGTCGGGCGCCCCCCAGACACGACAAGTTTCTCTTTTTGAGATGACACAAGGCTTCACCTTTCTACCTACCTACCTACAAGGATAGTGGGTGGGGGTGGTAGTAGTAGTTAGTTACCGCGCGCGCGCGCCGAAAACGGCCACGAATTGCGAAAACGGCGGGAGGGCTAGGGCCAAGGAGTTAGAGGGCTCAGCCACTGGGGTGGTGTCGTCAGGATGTGAAGGAGGCATGTGCATGATGCACAAGGGTGCATGAAGCAACTAATGGAACTATTTAAAGAAAAAGAAAGCAGCCCAGAAACGGCGCGAAAAACTTCCGACGCGTTGTGTGCATCTGCCGACAGAAATGCGGCGCACTCCCACCCGACCGTTGCCGCCGCCGGCGCTGGCGCTGCTGCTGCTGGCGGGCGTCGCCGAGGGGCGGCTGCGTAACGCAAAGGTGCCGAGCCGCGAGCCCGCGCAGGCAGCGGCGGCGGAGGCGAAGCCGGCGACGCCCAAGTACAGCCGCCAATGCGCCCCGCCCGCGCACCTGCCGTGCGAGCGGCCGGTGGCGCGGAGCCCGGTCAAGTGGAGCGGCTACATGGAGCGGTCGCTACTGGGCGAGTCGCACCCGCCGCACATGGAGTCGGGCTACGTCAACGTCACCGCCGAGGACTACCTCTTCTACCTCTTTTTTGGGCCGCACGAGGCGGCGCCGCGGTGCGGCTCTCCCTCCCTCCGCGCCGACGCCGCGCCGTAGCGGCCGCCTCCCCATGCCCCAGCCGGCGCCGGCGGCTCGCGCTTCCCCACGCCCAAGCCCGCGTCGCGCCGACCCACCGCCCCCCGCCCGCCCGCCCGTCAGCGATGCGCCGCTGGTCGTCTGGTCCAACGGCGGGCCGGGATGCTCGTCGATGGAGGCGGCGACCACCGAAATGAGTCCGCTCTCCCTCTTTGGTGCAAAGACCAGCGGCAGGCAGGGCTTCTCTCACATCCCCACCACGAGCGCGTGGGCGTGGACGCGGCACGCGGTGCGACGAGCCACCTCTTGGCTTCCGGCCGCTGCCGCCGCCAACCCCTCCCCCCCCCAACCTTGCTCCGCCGCCCTCGCCGCCCCCTTCGCCGGCACCCCTCGGCCCGCGCACGGTGTCGCCCCTCGCTGCCTCCCGCATACCTGCTGACCCTCGCCATGGCTCGCGCAGGCGCTGCTCTTCGTCGACCAGCCGCGCTACGTCGGCTTCTCCACCGGCACCGGCCCCTACGTCACGTCGAGCCGCGAGGCGGGCAAGGACATGGTGACCTTCCTGCGCGCGTGGCGGCGCCTCTTCCCCGACCAGGCGCACCGCAGCCTCATCTTTGCCAGCGAGAGCTACGGCGGCCACTATGTGCCCGCGTGGGTCGCGGCGACGCTCGACGCCAACGCCGCCGCGTCGAGGCCGGAGGACGCGCTGCCGCTGACCGCCATCTTTCTCGGCAACGCAGTCGTGGACGACGCGGTGCAGTCGGCGCCGCAGGCGTGGAGCGACTACTGCCTGGTCGAGAAGATTGTGAACCAGGACGATCGGCCCGACGACGAGGACTCCACCTACGAGGACATCGAGTGGTACCTCGGCTACCAGCCAAACATGTACGACTACCGCCTCGAGTCGCAGGACGGCTGCGGCGCCTTCGGCTACGACTACCGCAGCTGGGCAAAAACACTCAACTCGCACCGCTACCGCGCCGCCTTCAACGTCTGCGGCGACGCCGAGGTGCACCGCTCGTTTGAGGGCTGCAACGGCGGCTGCCACCCGTGCATCGGCGACGAGGTTCCCTTTGACGACGACGACGACTTTGACTACCCGGCGGCGCTCTCGCGCGCCCTCAACGAGGGGATCCGGCTCACCTTTGTCTGGGGCAAGCGCGACCTCGCTGTGCCGTACATCGGAGGCCAGCGGTGAGGGGCGGCCCTCGCGCGCCCCCCCCCCCCACCCCACCCGCGTCGGCCGAGTTCCAAACCACAGCGAGTCGCGAGACCATGGCAGTGGTCAGCACGCATGCAAGCACGCCCAGAGTCGTACGCACGCCGCGTCCGCTCCCAACTCCCGCGAGCGTTCCTCACGAGCGAAATCTCCGCCCCTTCGCCTCGGCCAGGATGATCAACGAGACCCTAAAGTGGGAGGGCGCGGCCGCCTGGCGCAAGGCGCCCCTCGAGCCAATCTACTTTGACGGCACGATAGAGATTGGGCAGATGCGCCGGCACGGCAACCTGACCTACATGCAGGTGGAGGACGCAGGGCACATGGTGCCCACCGACCAGCCTGCCGTCGGTGTTCTCGCTCTCAAGACGCTCACGAACCCGAGTGCCCGTGTGCTTGCGCCCCTCGAGCCGCTCAACGTGACCACACGCGCCTTTGGCGCCGCGGACCACGACGGCAGCGGCAGCCTGAGCCGCACCGAGTTTGTCGAGGCGCTGCGCGATGTGCTCTCCCACCAGCAGGTGCTCTCCCAGCAACAGGGAGGCGACACGCCCGCCCCCACCACCTCACCAATGGCCGCCAACGTTGCGCCGGCGACGGGGGTCGCGCTGCTGCCCTCCTTCTGTGCGCTGCTGCTCGGCCTCGTCGCCGGCGCTGGGTGGGCCCCAGCCTCCAACGCGCTGCGCAAGCGCTGGGGCGGGCGTCGGTGCTCGCTGCCAAGCGCGCTCGACCAGCCCCTCATGCCCAGCTCGTGAGGAGGCTCGGAGCTCCGGCGTCTCGTTGCCGGAGGCAAGCGAGAGCAAACGACGCTGCGGACCAGCGGCGTCGAATAGTAGGACGCGGGGCGCCAGCCGCAGAGGACGCGGCCGGTGCTGCTGCATGTGTGGAAAGGAAAGGAGGCCGACCCGGTCAAGCCTAGGCGCTAGGCCGCGTCCAGGCGGGTCGAGCGAGGCTCGCACGTGCGAGTGTGTGGGGCCCGGACCAAAAGACTGTGCATACTCCATGTTGGCGAAAGGGATCGTCTCTGTCACTGTGTAATGTGGTGTGAAACTAGTCCGCAAGCGCCCTTGATGCCCACCAGCTACCTTGATAATAATTAATATGGCCTCTCGGAGCGGACACTGCCAAATATGGGGTTGGGTAGTAGGGCTAGAGAGGGTCGCTCTAGCCTCTACACTTAGCCTCTGCAGCGAGCGAGCGCTCAACTTGCCCCCGCACGGAGCCGGGCTCAGACTTAGACGCTGTATGGTGGTCGGGGGCCATGAACTTAGACGACATAAGGTGTCGCAGGAGGTGAGGCACGAATACCCTCACGAGCACCGACAGCCTGACCTGTATCGAGAGGCTTCACCTGTTATTCTCCCTTCCCCACCCCAGAGTGACAACTAGTCCACCGTATCGCTCACATATCTCTATATTCCCATACCCCGTGTGGTGGCACGTCTTGCCACTTAGATTACCAATATTAGCACTTTGGGCGCCGGATGGGCGCCCAAATATTGGCACGTAATAGTCTCCCGACTGCTTTCGTGGGGCCACCGCGCCACGAGACAGTCGACCTCTCTACTGTTGTGACACCACAACACGGCGCAGCTGGCGTCTTCCCCCCCCACCGGTGTGACACCACACCTTCGTACTTTGAATACTCTCTACAAATATGTCTTCCTCGGCTGAGGAGGCCCGTGGCGCTGCGGGCAATCTATCTCCCGCGACCAAACCGCAGGACCGCGTACGACTCAACATACACGTGCTGGGCACCGATGATTCGGGTTCAGATGACCATCTCTCGAGCGAGAGACGAGGGACGCCTCACGAGACTCCAGAGGGCCTAGACCGGGGCGATACCACCCGGTCAGACCACCCTGATCACCTCCACACCACGTTGGAGCGTACCGAGCCCAAGGACGACACCGATGCGCTGGACAAGCCATCGTCGCCTGGCTCCGCCGAGGTCAGGGCTACGCCAGCTGGAATGCCTTCTGCCAGGCTGCCGGCGAGCCCTCCTTCGGCGGAAGCCTTACTGGACCCGAAAGGGTTTGACTTGAACGTGGCAGCGATCAAGCCATCCGCAGTGGACTCGCCTCATGGTTTGAGCACCACGCAACCATCTTTTGACGCCCGAACGGGCATGCGACCTCACGTCCCTGCCGAGGACGTCACGGGATTCTCGACCGACGGCATGGAGGCGCTACAGCTGCAGGTGCAACAGTTTGTGCAGTGCGCTGAGGAGGGCACAGCCGCGCTCATGCCCAACGATGTTGGAGTCATCGTCAGGCTCGCCTCTGATCTGCACGGCGCATCGCGCCGCTGCGTGTTCACCACCGCCCACCGAGCCCAGGGCGCAGATGAGAAGTGTGTGGCCTTCGCCTACATCCCTCACCGCACCGACGCGTGGCCTACGCCGCAGCGGGTTCAAGGTTGCGAGCTCTTCACGCACCTCTTCGTGTCGCTCACCCGCGCCTCTCTCCTGTGTGCGCTCTACACCATCACCGGGGAGCTGTACGATCACCTTTGCGCTTTGGTGCCGGAGCTCAAGAACATCCCGCCGGACGAGCCTACTCGCGCGACGGTGGGCTCTGCCCAACTTCAAATAACGTTGCAGCCCAGCCCTCGTCTCCCCTCGGTTCCGCCTCCCGCCCCCGCTGCTACGCTCGTGGCTGTTGTTGAGGATGTCGCTTCCATCGAGCCCGGTGACAGTGACGCCGCCCCCGAAGCACCCTCCTCGTGCCCCGAGCTGGACGCCGGTGCGACCGACAAGGATGCCGTCGAGCGATTCCAGGAGCTGCCTCGGGACGATGGTGGTGTGGACGGCGCCGACCCCGCGCACACCTCCTCCCCCGCTGCCAAGCGTCGCCTCCCCGGCTTCGACGCCATCACATTTTCCGAGGCCGACGGCGCGTACAACCCGTTCGGGCTGTGTAGCAGCATTTGCGTCGCCTGTGCACATGGCTTCGTGCATCTTCCGCTCCAGGAGGGCCGTCCAGGCGACCCGTGCGAGCGCACCCTTCTCGATGGCAAGCTCGTCGCGCCTGCCGTGGTACTGCAGGAGCTCCAGCACCATGGCGTTCAAGGTGAATGCTGCCAACGTGCGGACTGTGCGGCGCACTCCCGTGCGTGGGCTCAGCAGTTCCGTGCGAAATGCCAGGCATCTCACGCCTCGGAGGGCGGCGTAGGCAAGACCGAGGCGGCCGTCGAGACAGCGCTTTCTGCCACGGTTCGCGATTGGACCACACAGCTGAACGTGGTACTCTTGAAGCGCGAGTTCCTGCTGGTCGTCGTACCTCGCTCCCTCCCGACCCCTCCGTTGAAAGAAACTGAGGGAGGTGTGCACACGATGGGCCGAATCACTACGCGCCGCAAACCTCGCGTTGACTATCGCGAATCGCCCGCTGCAGACGTGGACAATTGCACCTGGGGGCACACGTTATTTCACCGTCGCTTCCCAGGGGTTCATGTGGTCACACGCGACGGCGAGCCATTCCTCGCCATTGCCCGGGATCTCGGCTTGGTGTCGTGTGTCGCCGTGTCAGAAAAAATTAAATCCACCCAGGAATTTTTTCCCCAGCAAAAAAAAGGATGACAGAAGTCTGCCTTCAGGTAGTGAATGCCCCTGAGTCAGTGGGAATACTCACCGAAACTCGGGGCCATTTAGCGACAACTCGGGGCCGGCCTCGAGTTGTGGCGAAATGGCCTCGAGTTATCGCGCGATGACTCGAGGCCTTTTTGCAAAAACTCGAGGCCGGCCTCGAGTTGTCGCGAAATGGCCTCGAGTTTTTGTGAATTGGCCTCGAGTATTCGCGAAATGACCTCACGAAATGGCCCCGGGTCTTCGAATTTTCAACATTTTCGAACCTCCGAGGTCAAATTTCACACACACACAAAACACTTGCGACCGGATGCGAAGGGGAAAAGGGACCGGACCGGACCGGACCACAGGACCACTGGACCGGACCACAGGACCACTGGACCGGACCACAGGACCACAGGACCACAGGACCACTTACGTACGGCTCACTCACGTGCTTACGACGACTCTATCACATACAACAGAGATTTGTTCAATCAATGGTCACAAAGTCGGCGCGGATTTCTTCCGGGGCACTTATCGTCGCCCCCGCGCACGTGTCCCGCAAGCGGTACAGCCATCAACAACGACCGACAGTGGCTACGATAGTGATCCGCAAACCAGAGGAAGGCGATATGAAAGGAACAGGGAGTGGAGGGAGCAGCTCCAAGCATTATAGCGCCGAAACCCGAGGCCAAATCGCGAATACCCGAGGCCGGCCTCGGGTTTTTTTGCGATTTGGCCTCGGGTCGCCGCGCGGGTCGCGGCGCCACAACCTCAACGACCAAGTGGCGTAGTGCGCGTGGGAATGGCCGCCAGCACGGCAAGGAGGCACTCCCCCTCAAGGAGGCTGCGGCGATGACTCACACAAACACACACATAAATTTAGACATCAAGTTTGTCGGCACGGATCTCGATTGGCTCGCTGACCTCCCCCCCATTGTACGTGCGCGTCAGGCGATAGAAATCGCAGCCATACAGGCCGATGGCAACGGCGTCGGAGACGTCGTCTGGGAGCTTGATCTTGCGGCCCGCCTGTGTCCGCATGTGGTCCGACCCGAGGGTCCGGCCGAGGATCGTCTCCACACGGTCCCTCACGTCGGACTTGCTAGTACCCTCGCCGTCCTTGAACTTGAGCCCCGACTCCTTAGCCTTCCACGAGACCGGCAGCCACGAGTGCACAATCTCGGGAGGGTGAGGGACGGAGCTGGCAAACTCCTTGATCACGCCGCGGACCTCGTGGTTTACCGAGTGGCCTTGGCCGACCGCGCCGCTCATCGGCGCGCCGGCTCGAGCCGGCGCGCCGTCAGGCGGGGAGCCGACTTGGAGGTCGTGGGGAGCGCGCGCGCGCACTTGGAGGATGGAGCGCTTCTTGGACCTTGGTTGGTATGGAGTGCGCCGGGTTATTAGCCTCACCTCCCGCAGGGCCGGGGAGCTCTAAGTCCTAAGAAGCGCACCCAGCGGGCCGGATGCTCGGGATCTGGGCTGCGGGCTACAGAGCCCTAACCCTGGGGGCTGGGGGTAAAGAAAGAAAGAAAATACAAACACGCCAAGGGAGGGATGGGAGGACGGCACGCCGCCACCACACTGCACACAGGGATTTTTATAAGGAGAGGAGTGTGGTGCTACATGCACATGCGCATGACATGTGCATGTAGCCGTCGCCCACCCTCGCTGCATGGTTGGCCGCGTCTTTCTCTAACCGGGTATCCGTGTGCAGACTCTCGGCCCGGGAGGATAGTGAGTGACCGTCTACAGTAGGCTAAACGGTGCTAAACCGCCCTGGGTTAGGGGGCGCTAAACCACCCTAACCCACCCCGTTCCATAGTCTCTCTAATATCCCTTTGCAGACTCGCGGCCCGGGGAGAACCGAGCTTCTTGCCCCCCCCCCCCCCCCACCCACCCCCCCCGGGGGGTGGAGCACTTGGATCTGGGCTGATGTCGCGTTCGATCCTCCGCAGGGACTCGGGCCCTGCCCGTGCGTGCACCAATACTCTCGACGCGCTGCATCGGTGTAAACGCGAGCTCGGGCTGATGCCAAGCCAGTGCTATCCGCGTAAATCTTATTCTGGCGCCTGCGATGCAGCCGAGTTTGAGCTGAAGCGATGTATGGCACACGCTGTCGATCCGGCCTCCGCGCGGGTCCTATACGATGCGTCCCAGGCGCCGCCAGAACACATCTACCGCGAGAGCACTTAATAGAGCGGAGAGAGGGCTGATCTACCACGACTCGCCTCACCTCAGGACCGGCAAACTCGAGTGGCGGCGAACGCTCGAATACAGAGAAAGCTGCAAAAGATCCATGTGCCGTGCACTCCGTGAATTCGCAGGTCACGGGCCGGCCTGGCGCGGGCTGGCCTAGCGCCGCAACCTCTGCTTGGTCACTCGATACGCGGGGCTCGGGCCCGCACCGCACGGCCGTCGATTGGCAGCGCCTCTCTGTCTCTCTCGGCGGCCCTGTTGTGACCAAACGAAGCCGATTTTCTCAGCGAGAGGGGCTCATACTCAAAACCCCCGAATATACGTACACCACAACAGACCCACACTGCTCACTGGCCGCAGGGTTTCGTGCTGGCGCCACACATTTGCCATGACAATGCTCTGATTCGGGGTGATCGTGATGCCGCGGTGTGTGCGCTGCGGACACGCCGTGCGGACAGCGCGCCGGCGTGGCCGTGGAGAGAGACGATCAGAAAAAGTCCGCAAAATGAGAACCGGAGAGAGCGTCGGAAGAGTAAGCGCGTCCAGCGTGCTTCAGATTGCTCTTCCTGGGCGTCTGTGCCAAAGGGCCGCAGCTGCATCCAAGGAGGCGCCAAGCCTCCCCGTGCTGCGCCTCCCTCCCTCGCCTCCCTGTCCTCGCCGCACGACGCCCCGGCCCGGCTCTGCAGTGTGGTGCCGCCGAACGAAGTCCCGCACCTACGAGAGCAGGGAGCTCTGGGCGATCACAGCGGGCCCGAGCAGGCTGGCTCGGCGCGGGTGCGGGCGGCGGCGCGGCTCACCCCTGCCGGCTCCAGCTGCCCGTGCTGCCTCCAGACGGGCCCCATCACCGCCTGGTCCGCCACGAAGCAGGCGCGCGGAGAGGAGAAGTTCTGCTCGGCGGCGTGCGCCCACTTGCCCTCGTAGTCGGAGCAGCCGGCGTCCGCCTACTCCCGCGGCGCGTCCCGCCTGAGAGAGGGAAGAGAGCGGCGGCTCCAAGGCGAGGGCCGCCTTGGCGCCGCCTCGCGCGCGGGGCCGGAGGAGCTCGGCGAGGCGGCGGCGGGCTGGCGAGGCGCAGCCGCCGGGCCGGCGCACCCAGTGGCAGGCGTCTCTGCGGCCTGCCCGCCCCGCCTCGCCCCGCCTCGCCTCGCCCCACACGCCTCCCCGCCCCTTGAGCGCCGCCAGCTCTGCGAGGAAACCGGGCCCCGCTTCGGCGATCGACGCGTTGAGGCGGCGGCTGGCCTCGCGGTACAGGAGCGAGTCGACGGGCGCGTACCGCCGCATCAGCGCGGCGCACTCGCCCATGTCCGGGCACACTCTCCTCAGGATGCGTCTCCGCTCGTCGCGCCTCGACGCGCCCCGCAGGTAGCACCACCAGTTGCTCTCCGTCGCTGGCTCGGCCCGCATGCAGCCGGGCTGCACCGTCGCGGCGGCGCTGAGGGCGACCTGGCGTGCAGAGAGGTGGCGGGGTGGGAGGGCGGCGAAGCGCATCGCCGCAGACCAGGGCAGGCCGAGGCACGGAGGTGGGGGGCGCCTCCTCTCCCCAGCCGAGCCGGCGCAGCACCAGCAGAGCGCTCTCGTCGAAGCGCTCGGTCGTGCCGACCACGTCGTACGACCGCAGCGACCGCCACGCAGCGGCCGCCCGCGCCGTCGCGTTGTGGTCTCCTCCTCGCCACCGCGCCGCCCACGCCGTCCGCTCCTCATGCACGAGTGGGCAATACGCGGCGGTGTTGGCCGAGCGCGAGTAGAGCAGGATCTCTGCCTGCAGGTTGGGCGACACCGCGACCCACTGCGAAAAGTTGTGCCCGAAGCGCCTGCCATCTCGCGCCTGCCGAGCGGCGACGATCCACGTGAAGAAGGAGAGGTAGTAGTCGAGCGGACTCCGAAAGCGCACAGTCAGGAGCATTTTCATCGGCACGCTCCGCTCTCGCCACACCCTCCGCAGCGCCACGAGCTGGCGCAGCCGCCTCCGCCAAGGAATGCCGTAGTCGATGTAGCTGTGCGCCTCGATGCACAGCCGGGGAGGCGGCGCCTCGGGCGAGAGTCGAAGGAGCGCGTGCACAGTGGAGTTCCATGCGGCCGAGTTTTGTGAGAAGCCCCAGTACATGCAGTGGCCAGCACGCTCAGCCTGCGTCAGCACCGATCGGAAGGAGGTGCCACCGTTCTTTTCAATGTGCCGGTCGACCAGAAGGACGCCGGAGGCAGCGTGCATTCGATGGCAGCGCCGGCGCGTGCGGCGGGCTCTACCTCCTTTCGAAAAGAGAATTTTCGACATGCCGCGTCCCTCGATGGGCAAGGGTGCCGTCCTCCCATTCCATTCCCTCCCTTGGGTTGTCTGTTTTCTTTCTTTCTTTCTTTGCAAGGGACTGGCGCGCACTGGCACCAACACAGATACACACGAAAAGAGAATTCGAGCGGACTCTTAGAGATACACGTGAGTTCGTGTTTTTTTTTGGAGGTGTCTTCTTCTTCGTGTTTGCCAAAACCCTGGGTGACCGTCGTGACAAACGAAACCGGCCGGCGCTTCATGACCGTGGACCGTGGTACCTAGGCTTGCCGCGAAACTGCCGCGTCCGGCTGTTGATGAACACGCACACGGCACGCCCAACCTTGTTGTTGAGAAGAAAATTCACGCAGGGGTTGATCAGAACCGGGAAAAAGTAACTGAAACTCAATACGCGCGATTCCGCGCTCAAAGTTTCACTCAATCCCGCTCAATGTGAGTGCATAAAATATGTGGCAAACGGCCCTGCTCGCGCTGCTGCAGTTCGGTGTCTTCCGCGCCGCCTCCGCTGCAAGCGTGCACGACGGCCCCATTTTCGCCTTTGTCGCCTTCGACAAGGTGGGCTCGACGTCGCTTCGACAGATCCTGCGGACCCGTGAGAAGCTGCACAACCACTCGGGAGTTCTGGACGATCACGCGGCATGGGACACTGACCGCGAGGACGGAATTGCCCATCCCATCTGCGATCCAATCGTGGACCAGTTCAAGGGCGGCTGCCAGGACGTGGACAACTACGCCTCTGTCAACATTGGTGCCCACGACGTGCGAGGCTTCCACTTTTGCGAGAGGCAGCGGCGCCCGTGCAGGTACTTTACGCTGCTCCGCCACCCGATCGAGCGCCTCCGGTCGGCGCACTCCTATTTTTGCGAGGGTTGCAAGGAAGGCGGCCGCCAGTGCGTCGGCGGGCGCGATGTGCAGCAGTGGGGAGGGGCGCTCACGTGCCCAAACATGAGCCTCGCGGCGTACGCGCGGGCCATCGGGCCGGTGTACACGCGCACCTTTGCACACAAGGCGGAGGGCGAGCCTCTCGAGGGGCCGCTTGAGGCTGCCGTCCTCGAGATCGTCGATTTGACCGGACTCGGCCGCTCGAAGGTGCGGGATATTGTGCGGCGGCAGACTCCGACCCGCGAGGCGGCGTATCGCGCGCTCGACCAATACTACGAGGGGTCCGGGCCCTTCCGCGGTGTGGCGGAGCTTGAGGGGGGGGCTACTTTGGCGCAGACGCCGGTGGAGGCTGCAGATGCGTGGCTCCAGGGAATTTGCACGCTGCTGATTGAGCCGGGGGATAGTGGCAGCCCGACGCTCATTGCTCAGCTGGCGAGGTGGATGGGGGACCGGCTCTTCGAGGAGAAGATGGCGCATCGGCTCACGCACAAGAACGTCCACGAGCACGGCTCTGGGACGAGAGCGGCGGATGCACAGGTGGCGGCGGAGCTCAGCCAGGACATCGAGCTGTACCGTCGCGTGAAGGAGCGGTTTGACCGAGGGGAGTCGTGCACGAGCTATAGGGTACCCCTAGGATTCTGAGGACCGGGGTTTTTAACGCCCTTTTATAAGAAATGAGGTCCTTCTCAATAAGATGGCACTGACCACTGTGGACAGCGCCATTAAGGAGGCATTTCTTCTCAATTACAAGGGTCTTGTTTCTTATGGTGTACCTGTGTTAGTGCCAGTGCGCACCAGTCCCGTGCCCAGTGTTGTGCGAGGGAGTTTTTCCCTCCCACCATCCCGGCCGGCCTCCTCCGTTCTAGCCCCAACTACCACACACCACCACCGACCTCCCCGCGCCCCCACACGCCGGCCCCGCGCACCCACGCCACCACCATCGCCCACGTCGCCCTCCCGGCCCCCCACCCCGCGCCCCAGGCTCTTCATAGCTCCGCTCGGAGCGTCCTGGCGCCGCCTCCCCAACCGCTGCGGCCCACGCGGCCGCCGGGCGGCGCGACGGCGGCTACCGGCCGGCATAGCCCTTCCAGCGCCGGCCGGGGGCTGCGGCGGCGCGCGGCGCGCGGCGGGCAAGCTGCCTGCTGGCGGGCGGCGCTTCTAGTCGTGATTTTAGTGCCGCGTAGGTCGCCCTTCGGCCACTTCTCGGGCGTGCGGCCGCAGCGCGGCGAGAAGGCGGCACGCTCGGCCCGCTGGCGGAGGTGAAGCCCCCCAGAGCGGGAGCTGGCGGGCCGGGGGCGTCGGGCGGGTGCGCGGCGGCACCCGTGCCACCGGGACGGGCCGTGGTGGCCCGTATGGCGGCCGTGAAGGGCCGTTTGGTGCGCCCCGGCGGCCTCCACTGCACGGCGGCCGCCGGGGCCGGTTTGGACTGTGTTTGGGGGGGTGGAGGGGTCCGGTGGCCGGTGTGATGGTCGTTTATCACCCTACTATCACCCACTTACCGCCCCCGGCCGTGGGGCCTCTCCAGACGCCGCCATTCATGATTTCAAAGGGTCCTGCCGACGCTCATCACAGTGCGGCGGAGGGGCCGGAGCCGGCGCCGCGGAGGACGAGGATGGCCGTGACGGACCGGGACGAGCTCTGGGAGGTTCAGTGTCAGTGAGTATATTGTAGAGACCACCCATGTGCACAATATCTTGACTGAGAGCTAATTCTGGGGAGGCGATGCCGGGGCCGTACAGCAGCTTGATGGTGCTGCGCCGGCGTGCGTCCCGCCGGCCGCCGGGGCCGGTTTGGACTGTGTTTGGGGGGTGGAGGGGTCCGGTGGCCGGTGTGATGGTCGTTTATGGCCCTCCTATCACCCACTTACCACCCCCGGCCGTGTGGGCCTCACCGGACGCCGCCATTCATGATTTCAAAGGGTCCTGCCGTCGCTCAGTCCGAATCACAGTGGGGCGGAGCCTACCCTGGCTCTAGCGAGAGGATTCAAGCCGCACCCACGGGACACTTCGAGCACACGCGCAAGCGCGCGGCGAAGCGCTGCCGCCCGCGCTGCGGGACGCCGGGGCCTATGTGTTTGATTGTAGGTACTCGATTTTTTGAAGCTTCCGGTCTGCGGTCTCACACGACTAAGCTTTTGCCGCGGGACTCTGTGGCGGGCACTCAGTCTCTCTCCTGCGGAACAGAAGCTGCGCTCTCTCCGCTCTCTGTATCCCCATTCCCATTCGACGGAGCGCTAATTTGACTGGCCTCCTCGGCACAGGGCGTGTTCACGGCGGGAGAGGGCCCCGGGCCAGCTGCTGCAGCTGCTGCGGCCTTGGCCTTGGCCTCGCGCCTGCGCTGCCGCTTGGCCTTGAGCGAGTCGCCCTCTGCAGCCGCCTGCTCCGCGGCCGCCACCCGCTCCGCTTCCACCCTCTTGGCCTTGGCCTTGGCCTTGGCCAGCACTTCCGCCTCCGTTGCCTCATGCTGCGCCGCTCGCCGCGCTTCGCGGTTCTGTTCCGCCTCCGCCTCCGCCTCGCTCTCGGCCGCCACGCGCTTCTGGCGGTCTCGCAGGAGCACCTCCTCCCATCCCAGCTGGCTGTCGAGCCAAAGCGCGCGAGCCTCGTCGAAGCAGAGCCGCCTCTCGGCCACGCTCAAGCACTCGTGGGCCTCCTGGATCGCGGCAAATCGAGCGGCTGCGGCCGCCGCGTCGTCGGGGTTGCGGTCAGGGTGGTGCAGCTTCGCAAGCCGCTTGAAAGCGCGCGAGATGTCTTCGCCCGACGCGTCGCGCTCCAGCCCGAGCAGGCTGTAGAAGTCGACGGAGCCGAGCCTCGCCATCGCTGGCTACCAAGGTAGGATTCCTCGTCCGGCGGAGTCCGGACTCGAGTGCCTGTACCTGTACCGGTACCTGTAGGGACTCCCTTCCGCCCACCGCAGAATTTTCATTTGGACTACTCTACTTGGCTAAAGTGTCGGGCACACGATCCCGGCGTGAACACGCCGATCTGGTAAAATCCCGAGTGCCTACCGCACGCGCCGCGTCGCGGCGCGTGCGGTAGGCTTTGTTTGAAGTCAAAAGTCGAATCAGAGCGAAGTCGGCGTTGTCCCCGATTTTGTCCCACGGACCGCCCGTCCGGCACCGCTCCGGGACGCACGCCGGCGAAGCACCATCAAGCTGCTGTACGGCCCCGGCATCGCCTTCCCAGGCTTAGCTAGACTGAGAGATATTGTGCACATGGTTAGTCTCTACAATATATACACTGACACTGAACCTCCCAGAGCTCGTCCCGGTCCGTCACGGCCATCCTCGGCCTCCGGAGGGCCCCCGGCCGCGGCGCGGTGCGGCGGCGTCACAAATCCGACCACAGAGCACCGGGACGCGGTCGGGGGATCTGAGGCCCAGTGAGGCGTATGCATTGCCCATCCAGGGCTATCACATATGTGTTTCATAACATACTAGGAAATCGGCAAAAAGGAACAGGTCCCCGCCCGTGCGATCTCTGTGCAGGGTTCTTTGTGAGGGGGGTGGTCGGCGACTAGCCGGCTGCCGGGCAGCCGGGGTCGTCTGCAGAGAGCAAGTGTGAGATGGTGCGGAGACCAGAGTGACAAGTGTCGTTTTTATATAGGATTTATAGCACTCACCACGCAATCGTTACCGCATCTTCACGGCCTTAGGTTCCCAGCGGCAGCTCCTCACCTCTGCCACTTGTTGTTGAGAGAGAGATGCTTGATGTGTCGCCCCGCGCCCCGCTCGCTGCCACCTGGCGTCGTGGCCCCCAAGCGCGTTGCTCCGGGTGCAGCGAGTAGAAGGTCTCCGTGGAGGTCGATCGCACCCACGGCGGCCGCAGCGTGAAGTAGAGGTGCCCGTCGCCGGGCGTCACGTTCCAGTCCTCGACGGTGCGTCTCAGCCGGTACGCGTTGACGAAGTGGTTGGAGCGCGCAAAGGCGTTCATGTAGGCGACGAGCCCGGGCGCCGCATCGAGCGCCGAGAGCTCGACCCGAATCACGATGTGCTCGTCCTCCGTCGAGCACACGACGAACGGCAGCGACCAGTCGGCCTGCAGCTGCCTGTGGATCTGCTGCACCATCTCGGGCAGCATGCTGCCCGACGGCAGCTCGCTCGACGACTCTCCGGCACGCCCCTTGTTGCGCCCCGCGGGGCGAAACGGCCCCGCGAGGATTGCGGCGTCCTGCAGCCACTTTTGCCTCAGAGCCTGGTCCTCCGCGGCGCCAAACGGGTCCGGCTCGCTCTGGTATACGCTAAAGCCGTCGGCTCTCCCAAAGGCCTCGTGCCTCAGCGGGCAGGCGGAGCCGGCCGCGCGCCACGCACCGCCACCAAACCGCTCCGCCTGTGACTCGTGGTGCAGCCGCTCCTGACGGCGGATGCTCTCGGCCATCGAGTAGGGCGAGGGAATGTACTCAAACTCTGAAAACGCCGATCGCCTCGAGTACGAGCCGCACGCTGCAACCGGCTCGCGGCTCTTCAGGACCTTGCGAAAGCGGTGGCGCGCGACGCTGCCGCAGCCGAGGCGATTCGGTATGTCCTGCGGGCGCATGCGCATCTAGGAATGAGAGCGCGAGAGACTGGAGGCGCAGCGACCCCCGCGATGAACCTTGAGGGAGCAAAAGTTGCCGGATCGGAACGCCTGGGCGATCGCGTCGGCCTCGGCGTTGGTGTACTCGGGCAGCTCGGCGCAGAGGCTGGGGAGAGCGTAGTGCGGCGCCGGCGCTGAGGCAGCTCGTGACGATGGCTCGTCGGCCATGCCTCAAGCCCGGGCAGCCTGTTGCGCCGCAGAGAGAGGCCCTAGCGAAAGGGCGTAACCGTCAGGGCGCGCCCGCCGCAAACTCGGGGTTAAAAGAGCCCGCGGCAAAAAGAAAGAAGATGCGCGACGGAAGGAAATTTGTAGAGTTCTTTTGGTCTGGCGGCCCTCGCGCGCGCAGCGCAGGATTCTATATCGCCCACGGGTACCGTCGGGTACTTATTTTAAGAGCAGGTAAACAGCAATAGATCCGGGTGTAGTGCCGGATCAGTTCCTGGAGCCAGGGGGACCGATTCGCGCTTGCCAAGGGACCAATTGCTAGACACCCGGGGGGGGGAGGGGGTACACTACAGGGGGGCCCGCACAGGTGGGCGAGCCAAACTCTGGCGGAGGCAGCCCGCTCACCCCCAGGCGCCCCTCGAACCGGAGGGTGGTCTGCCGCCGCTGCGCGGTCGGCGCGCCGAGCGCGGGAGACATATCAGCTTCGCGCCACAGGTGGGGGGACCGATTCTCAGCAAGTTTGGCAGCGCGGGCAGTGTGAAGGATCGATTGCTGTACAACGAGGGACCGATTCCGTGAGGGCTGGGTATCGATTAGGCCGCTTGAGGGCCGGATCTATTGCTGTTTACCTGCTCTTAAAATAAGTACCCGACGGTATAGAGTTCATCCATATGAGTTCATCCCTCCCTCCCACCCACGGCGCACGGGTATAGAGTTCAGCCTCCCAGCGGATACCCTGATACCATGTGCCCATCGGCCATCGCGCGACTGACCGGATACCCTGTGCGCGCCGATATCCGTACCCCGCCGCCACGTTTCCGAGCCCAACGTGCGAGTCACGCGTCGCCACTTGCCCGAGATGGCCGGGGCCACCCCCGCCGCCACGACCGCGAGCCCCCCTCGCGGCTGCGCACTCTCCGGCCGAGGGCGGCACCGCTCCGGCCGACGGCACGGCCTTCGACGCGGCGGCAGAGTTGCAGGATGAGTGCACGCCGGCACTTGAGGGGACGGAGCAACGTTTGCCGAGACGTGGAGCACTTGGAGCACTTGGAGTGCAGTCGGTAACGAGAGAGAGAGAGAATTCTTGATACGAAACCACGACGACACACACCAGTCGACTCGCATCGGTTGCCTCCATGAACGGCGGAGCTATTCTCGCGTCCTCTCTCTCTCTCTCTCTCTCTCTCTCTCTCTCTCTCTAGTCGGTAACCTCACATCCAGGGCCGTGGGTCTGGGTTTTCTCAGGACGCTCTCCTCGTCGCGAGGAAGCACCTGCCTTCTTGGATTAGCCGTCCTGCCGTGCGATGACGGGAGCGCGTTCGCGCGAGGGCGAGGATGAGAGTGGGCCGCAAATGCCGCAGAAGAAGCACTTTCGCTCACGCGCACACTCCAACGTGCTCAACGCCAACGACTTTTGGTTCCCAGCTCGTCCGCAGGACGTGCCCTGGGGCGAGTACTTTCCGCAGCGTGCCAGCGGCGAGCGGGTGACCTTCGTGGATGTGGGATGCGGCTTTGGCTCACTCTGCCTCTCGCTGGCGCGCGCCGCTCGGCCGCCGCGCCACCCGTCCTCGGCCGCCTGACGCCCTGCCGCTCCGCTTGCGGCACAGGCAAAGACCTTCCCGTCCCAGCTGGTCCTCGGCATCGAGATCCGACCGAAGCTCGTCGAGTACGTGCAGAAGCGGGCCCTCGCCCTCCGACACGAGGCTGCGCAGGCGACGGCTGCTGACGCCGCCGACGCCGCCACGTACGAGAACGTGTGGGCGCTGCACAACAATGCAATGCGGTTCATGCCAAACTTCTTCGAGAAGGGCCAGCTGAGCAAGATCTTCATCTGCTTCCCCGACCCCCACTTCAAGCGGAAGAACCACCGGAAGCGAATCATCTCGCAGCCGCTGCTCGCCGAGTTTGGGTACACGCTCTCGGCCGGCGGCCACCTGTACGCCATCACCGACGTGGCAGAGCTGATGGAGTGGATGGTGGGCCACCTCACCGCCTCGCCTCTCTTCGAGCGCCTCTCGCGCGACGAGCTGCGCGCCGACCCGTGCGTGCCGCTGCTTATACACACGGACGAGGGCCAAAAGGTGCAGCGCAACAACGGCAACATGTACATCTCCGTCTTCCGCAAGCGCGCGGACCCGGCGGCGCCCCGTGACGAGCCGCCGCTCCTGGGGAACGACGTCGCCGCAATCGCTGCCGCGGACGCCGGCTACGCGCCTGAGGCGGGCGGGGAGCGGCGAGGGATGACGTGGTAGGCATCTCTCGCGTTTAAACTCTTACAACGAACGAGTGACGCGTTTTCGCCCTGTAGCCGGCACTCCTCCAAAGAGTGCTCCAAGTTCGCACAAAAAAAGACCGCCGCACTGTGACGTATCCCGCCCAGCGCCGCCCCTCTCACGTTGTGGGCTGCGCGACGGCACCCACGCATGATCCCAGCGATCCCACTCGGACACACCCCAATATAACGTCGGAGAGAGAACGCGCCGCCCACACCGCGTACCCGCGCGACCACAAAACAGCCTCCGGCTCGGACGACTTTTCTCAGGCGTCACACGTGAACCCGACGTCGCGCACGGCTCGCGCCGCCCTTCCGAGCGTCGCCGCGTCGGCGCGCGGCCCGAGCCGCAGCCACGCCACGCCGGCCGGCAGGTCCACCTCGCAGTTGTCGACGCCGTCGACCGCCTCGAGCGCGGAGAGGACCTTCTGGGTGCACGCCGTGCACCCCATCCCGCCGACCTGCAGCGACACCGCCTCCCCGCCGCCGGTGCGCCAGCCGTCGCGCCGGTGCACCCACCAGTGGAGCGCCTCGGGCAGGAGCGACAGGGCGGTGCAGAGCGCGGTGGCGGCCGCCGCCTGGACGAGGCGCGGAGGGGTCGCGGCGAGGGCCGCGCGCCACAGGTGGCACTGGAGCACGACGGCGAGCGCGAGGAAGGCTGGCCGCGGAGGGCCGAGCACGGTGTTGAAGCCCGCGCAGCCAATGGCGAGGGTGGCGTTGAGGAGGAGCTGCAGGGCGCAGCACGAGGAGGAGGCGAGGCCGACCAGAAACCACCACTCGAATCGGCCGGCTGCGCGCCGCAGCGCGAGCCGCAGCGCCTGCGTCCCGCTGGGCGGAGCGAGCGTCGAGACCGCCGCGCATGCCACGAGCGAGAGGAGAAAGCGCGGGCCGAAGCCGGGCTGCCAGATGAGGTGCTCGTTCCGATCGAGGGCCGCGACGGCGGGAGAGACGCTCGCTCGGTTGAAGGCGAGCAGGAGCGGCCGGACGAGAGGAGCGCTGAACAACATGTCGGTGCGGTGCGCCGTTTCCGCGCGGCCGGCGCGCCTGCCCCCTACCCAAAAAGTCCAAAAGAAAAAATTCTTATCAAACTCATGTGGCTGGGTCGACCGCGCCCGAGTCAACACGGCGGACGCGATGTGCAGGCCCCTCGATGCCGCAATCGTAAAACTCTGCCGTCCCGTGACAGATGGCGTCCCGACCGCCCGCCCGGCCGCCGCCGCGCCTCCGGGGCGACGACGAGGGGCCCTCGCGGCCACGGCGCCGCCAGCGGCCATCGGCCGACCCCCCGGCTGCCCGAGTGCCATGGCTGCGGCTCTTCTCTCCGCCGGCGTAAAGCTCGGGCCTTGAGAGATGGTGATCCGGCCAGCCGCTTGCGCCTCCGGGACGACGTCGGGGGCTTCGCCGGCAAGGCGCCGCCAGTGGGGAAGACACCCCCCCCCCCCTCCCCTCCCCCCCAGACTACCCCAAATTTATGGCTTCAACAACTTTGGCCACTGGCTTCATGACCACCCGGCCAGCCGTCATTGCACCTCCGGCGGACGATTTTTGGGGCTTCGCCGGCAAGGCGCCGCAGCGGGCATTGGCGCACTCTTTCCTGGTGGTTGCCATTGCTTCGCTTCATCGGCCGGCGAGAATCAAAGCACGAGCCGTGCTACCAGCGGAGCACGACATGGAGAAGGCATCGCGGCTTTGCACGCCCCCAACATTCCCCTGACAGCAGCGCCCCACGGCGTGGGCTGCGAGGTCACTCGGGGTGACCCAGGGGGCGGCGGGGGAGCACTCTCCCGCCGGAGTAGCGGGCGGTCTTCCCGCTCCTCGATCGTATTTGAGGTGCATCCACATGCCCCGCCCACCACCTTCCCGGCAGCTCCACCCGCTCGGTGACGTCCTCATCTTCTCCCCCCCTGCCCCGCCCCCCTTCAGGCAAGGCCCTGGCCACCAAAATCGCGCTCTGCGCTCCGGGAACGGGCAGCAGCGCGACGCAGTTCGAGAGCGAGCGGCGGCGGCGGCTTAGCACCAACCATGTCAGTGCAGGGGCTTGCTGCGTGGGCCCCCGCCACCGGACTCCGTCGGGCTCGCGTCTCCCTGCCCGCTGAGGGGAGCGCAGTGTGTGTGTCTGTGTCTGTGTCTGTGTCTGTGTCTGTGTCCCTGTCGTGTCGTGTGTGTCGTGTGTGACTCTCGCAAGCTCGCCTCCCATCGTCCATCCATCGACCGAGTGCGAGCCATGCAGCGTCGAATGCAGCGTGCTCACAGTGCCGCTCGCAACGTCAGGGGTCGTCCGAGGATTCCTCTAGGGCCAGCACGAAAAAAGAAAGCGTCTCCCCTGCAACCCTATTCCACCGAGGAGCCCGAACCCTGACTGCTGTCTTCGCTGCGTCGGCTTTCGCAGTTCGTGGCCACCCCTCGACCGCTGCTGCTGCCATGCACAAGCTCCTCGCCACGGTCATCCTCGCCTCGCGCGTCGCACACCGGCCTCCGCTGCGAGCCGTGCTCGCCCGCGCTCCGCCACGCGCTGCCAGGCTCTACGCGGCTGCCGGCAGTGCGATAGAAGGCCTCGACACAGAGATCAACCTCGACGGAATGCGCAAGGAGTCGCAGCGCAAGCTTTACCGCGCGCAGAAAAAGGCGGCAAAGGCCCGGGAGCGCGCGGAGCTCTGCGACGCGCGCATGGAGGAGCTGCTCTCCGACGAGGACGCGGCGCTCGAGGCGCTCGAGGCGCTTCCCAACTGCGACGAGCTGCGCGCCGCGGCGGCAGCCGAGGCGGAGAGGGTGGAGCGGCTGGACTCGCTGGTCCAGGGCCTCAAGACTTGCACGGCTTCGGCCGACGCCGCCGACGCCACTCCGCTCGCGCAGCTGCTAAGCCTCGCGGCCGACCTCGGCGCGGCACCGCGGCCGGCGCCATCGCGAGGTCGGCCGCCCCACACGCCGGCTCGCCCTCGGCCGCAGGCGTGAGCGACCAGCCACCGGCTCGGCCACCGCCGAGACCGAAGAAGCCAAAGGGCCCGCGCGCCAACCCGCGCCTCCCCTACCCAACCCGAACCCGAACCCGTACCCGTAACACCTTACTCTAGGCCCGCGCGCAAAGCCGCGCCTTCCCTACCGCGTCTTCCGGAGCGAGGGCGGCGCCGAGATCCGGGTCGGCAAGCAGGCGAGATGCAGCGGAGATGTGGCCGAGAGGTTGTGGCCGTGATCCGCGCCTCGCGAGCGGGGAGGGCGAGCGTGTGGCGCTTGCCCGGCCAGGCGTCCGACAACGACGCCCTCAGCACCGACCCCCTCCACCGCGACGCGGACGACTGGTGGATGCATGCGGCGGGCTGCGCAGGTGCGCTGGCCAGGGACCGGCCCGCCTCGCGCACATCGAGTGAGCGAGCGTCGGCTGCCGCAGGCTCGCACGTCGTGATTCGCGCGGAGAGCGTCGGCGACGCGGCGACGCTGCCGCGAGAGGCGAGCGGGAAGGGCGGGGCCAGGGGTTAGGATGAGGAGAGGGGGGCATGAGCTCGCTGCTCCGCGGCAGGTGGAGCTCGACGCGGCCGTCCTCGCGGCGAACTACTCAAAGGCGGCGCGCTCCGGCTCGGTCGGCGTGAACCTGTGCCGCGCGAGGCAGGTGAGCAAGCCGGCCGGCGCCAAGCCGGGGCTGGTGCAGCTGTCGGGCGACGTGCGCACGCTGAGGCTCAACTGGAGGAACGAGAAGCGGCGGCTCGAGCGGCTGCGCGACGCGCTCGAGGGCTGAGCCTGGAGCTGAGGCCGGTGAGGGGCCCGAGGGCCCGTCTTTTACGATAGAGCATATGGGAGAGAATTAGAGCTGGTCCCACCGCCGCGCCTGTGGTCCTGCTGTGGTCTACGCCGGGGCGCACAGCCAACGAACGTACACACCGCCTGTGCACAGCGCCCCCACCGCCCGTCGAGGACCACACGACCGCCATGCGATCATCCACACGCGGGAAAAAATACGTGGCGGACGGCTAGGCCGTCCGCCGAGGAGACGCCCCTGGCACCTCAGTCTCTCTAACCGCGTCGACATTCCAGGATCGCGCACGCTGAGAGTCCGGGTGTGGCGACGGCCCGTCGCCGCCGGTGCCGGAGCCGTGCGGAGCCGCGTTGGCTGGTGCGCCGCCGCCGGCGACGCTCCGGGTCGACGGACGGCGCGGCTACTCCGCCCGCGTCGTTCTCCTCCCTCCGCCTCCGCTCCAACTCGCCTCACTCGCGCGCCTCGAGCTTCTCGCGCAGCTCCTCGGGCGTCGATCGGTAGAGGGTGCCGCAAAATTCGCATTTGGCCTCGATGACCTCGTTCGAGGTGAGCATCTCCTCGAGCTCCTCTCGCGGGATGAGCGCCATCGTCCGCAGCACGCGCGCCTAGAAGGGGCGGAGACGGCTCTGACAAGGCTCCCCGAGGGGTGCCGTCGTCCGCAGCCCGCGCCTCAGAGCAGGGGCACGACTCCGCCAAGCCGGCGACCGGCTTGTCGTCGGCGAAGACCGGCTCGAGTCCGTCGAGCAGCAGGTCGACGATCTCGCGCGGCCCCAGCCCCTCCCGCACCAGGCTGGTCGGCGAGCGGCTCGCCAGCTTGGCGATGTTCTCCTCGAGCCGCACAATCGACTCCTCCGCCGCAAACGGCAGCAGCTGCACGTACCAGCCCCCGCCAGCGTCCACCCGCACGCCCGCACTCGGCGGCGCGTCGGCGGCGGGCGGCTGCAGCTCCCCGCTCTCCTCCCTGCCCTCCGCCGCGCCGCCGGCGGCGACCGGCGACACGAATACGCCGGCGGCGAGGGCTCCCTGCCGCTGCTCCGACTCGAGCAGAAAGTAGTTGATGTCTTCCGGGATCTCGCCGGTCCGGATCTC